GTAGACCTGAATAAAACCTACCTCATCTGGAAGTTCACTGTACCAATTAAATCGCAGCTCCAGTTCCTGTATGTTATAATTCAACAAACTTTTATTATGTGCATATACAGAAAGCACCTGGATACAAAGATAAAAAATGACAAGCCCCATTCTCAAGTTGCTGACAACCTACTGGGGGGACAGTCCGCACTCACCAATTAGCTTAATATGCAGTAGAATGTGATGGGGACAAAAGAGAAAGCCAAAGTGCTCTGGGAAAACTTGTAGGATTCAAACTCTCTTATCCCAACAGTTTGAAATTCACCCACTATGAATTTCACAGATTGGGGGACCTTTTCCTTATTAAAACAATAAATGCAGGTGTTCATTTTCTTCTCATGGCAAGTCAGAGCAGATTTCCTAGCACCTTCTCCTCACTAGTCCCAGCAGGAAGCTTAAAATTCCAATAATAAATCCAGGGTCTCAGCTCCAATGAAATGATACCCAAACTGCTGCTCAGCTCCCAGGCATTTTATTTTGTCTGTCACAAAACATCCGGTTCTCCTCCTTCCATATGTGAGTAAGGGCAAAGCGGCTGCTGTCTGGAGGGCTAAAGCAGGATGATCACAAGCAGAGAGGGCAGAGGAGACACTTTAAAGATGCTCTGAAACCCTGCTGCCAACAACGGGGTAGAAGTTGAGACTGCTGGGAAGTAGCAGTCTGATGTGTAGCTATCAGGGACCAGGAGGTTCGAGCTTGACCACAAGGCTACAGAGCAGAGGCACCAACAGCGAAAACCTCTACAGAGAGTAGTCAAACAGCCATTGTCGTGGGTGCCCAAGGCTGGGAAGGACACACAAACCCTTGTTAAAAGCAGCCCAGACAGGAGTGCCGGAGCTCCTGGATGCCACAGTCATGCTGGTGGCAAACCGACAGAAAGCCAGGGCTTCGGCAGCTTCTGGAGAAAGGCACCGTCTGACTTTCATTTCCCATTTGCAATGCCTGAATTGGGAGCATCGACCAAACTCCCAAATTAGCTTTTTAAATAGAAGCTGAGAGTTAAAAGAAAGGCGGCCGAGTCATGGGGGAAAAGCAACTAAAAATCCCTGCCAGGCCAGAGGCAGAGGAGAGAAACGACGAGGACAGGCAGCCAAAGAGAGACAGAGAGACTACAGGAAAATGAAGAAGAGGGAGAGCTCCACAAACCAAAGAGGTGGCGGGGTGGTGTCAAAGGAGCTATGACCCTGGGTGAAGGGACCTCAGACTCCATAGCCTCGCTCTGCCTCTCAGCACATGTATGGGCCTTAGGCAAATCATTCAATCCCTCTAGCCCTTAGTAAAATAAAGCGGTTGGACTGCATGATCTCTAAGAATTTTAGAGCTGAAGGGAAACTATGATTGCTCTTATTTCAAGGAGCCTTTTCCTATCCCCTTTTGTCTCCTGTTTTTCAAGCCACTTGATTATAAGAGTGAATAGAAATGTTTTTGTTGCTGTTGTCGTCCTCATCATTATTGTTCCCTTACTCCCTTTGGCAGAAAGGAAAAGGAAAAAAATGCTGTTGGTTTTTGTTTTTGTTTTTGTTTTTTTTCTGAATCATAAGGCTCCAAGGTACCTGAAGGGTCCTCTAATTCCTTCCCCTAAAGTATCTCTGAGAGATGCAATTTAAGGTTGTGGGTAAAAAGTCAGGAAGACCTGAGTTTTTTCCTCACATGTGACACATACTGGTTGTGAGATCCTGGGCAAGTGACTTAGCTTTTCAGTGTTCTGGACCCCTCTCTAAGACTAATAGGTGCAGAATAATCATGCAGCTACATTTGTAAAGGGAGTTTCTTACACCAGTGAAATTACAGGTTGGCTCTAAAATTATCCCTAAGAGGTAGCACTCAATTACTTAAGGTTTCTTTCTAAAAGAAATTTTTTCCCTACTTCTTTCTCCTTGCCTTCTACCTACCTCCCATATTAGTGAGGATACCCACTTCAAGAACAATCCCATAATAGGTACATATGTATGTGTATACATACATATATATACATACACAATATATACATATGTAATATACATACACATGTGTAGGCATATGTTACATATATACAGATAGATAGACAGACAGATAGATAATGAACTCCAGTTCAAAGCATAGGAACCTATAGATGGAAACAATATAAAGTCTTTCAAGATTTAGATTGAGGGTGGATGGATGGGTGGAGGGACGCATGATAAAGTGGAAAGGAAACAGGTTTTGGAATCAAGAGACCTGAATTTGATTTTCACTTAATTCTGGTTGTGTGACCCTGAGTAAGTCAGCCTTTCTGAACTTTCTGTAGTCTCATTTGGAATACCTATATAACCTACTTTACATAGTTAATGTTAAATGGGCTTTGTAAGCCTTAAAGTGTTAAAGAAATGTGAATTATTCTTAATAGCAATAATAAAAAGAAGAGTAAGAAAGGTCAGGGATCATACAGCTAACTCTTGTGAATGTTCTTGGAGATTAGACTGGAAGATGTTCTGTGAGCTCTGGGCCTTTTATAAGGGTTAAGGAGCATCCTCTCCCAGGGGACAAAGTCCCTAGTTCACACCAGATGCTAGAAAATTAGTTGTGCCCATGAAGGATTTGGGGGATGGGGAAGAGAAAGAGAAGGGAAAGGAAGAAGAAAATTGCAAAGAATCTTCCTGAATCCTTCCTCTATCTACCAGGGAGTGGCACTGTTGTTAATCATTATTACTGTATGCAAATCATTATGCTAATCAAACACAGCACTGGGACTCCTGGCAACCTCACCCTCTGGTCCACACCCACCTGCTATATGGTACCGATTGTCTCCCATCCTCACCCAGACCCCTCTGCCTGGTTGGTGTCTCTACAATAGGATAAAAGAGTGGCAGTATAGGGAGCACGGGGAATTCCGGGAAAGGGCACTCAAAATCTCTTGGGCAGATTTCCAAGCTGCCTGGCTGCCACACAAAGTTCCCAGGGACGCAGGTCATTGTTACGCATTCTATTCCATTTCCAAAGTGGGAGGAAAATATGTAAGTTTTCCCATGAATCGTCGGGTCAAATGTCCAGTTACCCCGAAGGCTCTGTCTGTCGTTTCTAAAGGGATCAGATGGAAATTCTGGCTTCTCCGCAAGCCAGACTTCAGACTCATGATCCCGTGGGTTCTTTTTCCAAACCTGGGGTTCACACTGAACTTCTGAGGGCGTATCAACATCCCTTTCCATCACTAACAGACACACCCGCTCTCGCACAACCTAGAGGAGCCATTTCTCTTTTTATCTTCTTGGAGAGAACCATTGAAGTGCTCGGCTCTCCGAAACGCTGGGCTCCAGATTTCTTCGGTATTGTGAGCTGGGAGCACCCCAGGGATGTGCCGAGTCTTCCGGACCCCAGAGACAGGCGAGTGGCCAGAGTCTCCTCCAGGACGCTCCATCCTCCCCAGTCTGGAGTTGGCCAGTCTCGTAATGCCTCTCCACATTCTCCACTAGCGTCTCAACATCAGGGCGTGGGCTCCGGAGCCTAAGGTGGGGGGTAGAGGGACTGTATGTGAAGGTCCGGCTCTGGGGATGGGGAGGTTGATGCAAGCACTGGGAATAGTGATGGTGATGATCAGTCTCTGAAGCCCAGACTTCGGACTCTCGAGTCTGGGACGTGCAAAGGGGGATTCGAAACAAGCTTACATGGACCATGCTGTACTCTCTCACAACGGACCATTAGCGGAACAGCCATGCCCTTTGAGAAAACAGAGCGTCCCTTCTCCCTGAAAGAGCAAAGGTATAAGCGTTGTATAGTGGGGCATAGATAGAGTGTCAAGGTTTTAGTCCCCAACACTGGGGCTTCTCCAATGGCTGCTGGGCGGGGTGCTTTGGTTCGATAAACAAGTCCTGGAGCTTGGAGAGGTGTACCTCCGGAGGAGCTCGAAGGTGACACCTCCCCAGGTGGCTGGGGCCAAAAGGCAGGTGATTGTGGGGGCGCTCCCGTGTGGACACATTCAGCTCTATACAAACATACATTTGCACAGCATCACCATCACCCACATGCCCACACAGTCTCAACCACGAGAGCACACGGGAACGGCACCCGTGCTCTCTGACACACAGCATACTCCCTGTGTTCCCGGCTTCACACACCCATACTGGCCCTCTGGCTAGGCCCTTCCCCCCACCCGGTGCCCATATTGACACACACACTCACACCCGTGGTTGCACACTCTGCTCGCTACAGTCACACACTCGGATTCCTCCACTCACCCAGGGAGACGCACAAGGAAAGAAGGCTAAGACTAAGGCTCAGCCTCGCTTCTCGCTCTCTCGCTCTCCCCCACATTCGCTCGTGCGCGCACCACACCCGCCCATACACAGACACACACACTCGCACACGCACACCGAGTCACTCCCCCTCGCACACCCTCGCCCCCGGGCCTCCTCCCGGCCGCTAGGGCTAGCAATCCTCCGCCTCTCTCCATTCGCCGGCGGCTACGGCAGCGCCCAGCTCTCCGGCCTGTGGCCGGGGCAGCTCGCCCTGCCCGGACGCGCCGGGCACCAAGAAGCCCGCCTGCGGTCTTCGTCTCCAGATCCATCCCCCTCACCCACGGCTCCTGCTCCCGCTTCCCTCCTCCCCCTGGCCCCGCCCCGCGCCCCCGCCGCCTCCCCCCTAGGGAGAGGGACCTATCCATCCAGCCGGTGGCCCGCTGGTCTCGGCTTCCCGCGACGCTGGGATTGGCGGGGGCAGCGAGCGAAGGAGCAAGCGAGGCGGGCAGCCGAGGAGGGAGGGAGGGAGGGAAGGAAGGAAGGAAGGAAAGAAGGAGGAAGGGGGGCGCGCTGCCGAGCCCCGGGCTGAGAGGCGGCGGGGGAGGAGGAGGGACGGAGTGCCTGGCGGACGCAAGGAGAGAGCGAGCGAGCGGACTTCACCTCGCCGAGGAGCACCGCGAACCGCCGTTCCACTCTCCCGGCGCCGAGCCGCTGGGGCTCCCTCCGCCTCGGCCAGACCCCGGCTCCGGGCTCCGGGCTGCAGCTTCCCCGTGAGCCCTGGGCGCGGGAGAGGCCGGGGGCTTTCTGCGCCCAAGGTAAGAGGAACCGGTGTGGAATTGGGATTGGGGGTGGGGTAAAGGGGACGAGGTGGGGGAGGGAAGGGGTCCGCAGGTGTTGCTCCCACGCCTGTTGCTCCTGCTGCCCACTCGAGTCTCTCCCCCACGCCCTGGGGGCTGGGCACCAGGGCTGGGGAGTGCTGGGGGCGGGGCGGGGCGGGGGGCGCTGTGCTCCGCGCTCAGCTGCCGGCCCCCCGGTTCAGGAGGAAGGGTAGGGAGCAGGCTCTGGGGCGCATTTCCCTTGTCGATAGTCTGGAGGTCCAGCATTCTCTTTAGGTGTTCACTTGCTGCTTATCCCTTACAGCTGTGCTTTCATTTGGGGGGCCAGGAACCTTAATCTTGGCCCCCGTCCCTTAGGAGCCCAGAAGCACTATTTGCTCGGAGAGCGCAGGTTGGGGAAAGGTGACAGATGGGAGAGGTTCTGTACTCCTGCTCTTTATTGAGGGAGGGGAACTGGGGAGGAAAGGGAGAGTGAATCAATCAGGGCGCTTGGTAAAGTTCTCCAACCCCGAGTGAGCCTAGCACTCTGTGCTCCTGGAAGTCAGATGGGGTTGGAACAGCTGTTTTTGTCCCAGCCCTGCTCCGTCTTCCCGCTCCCAAAGGTGTTCTATTAAAATTAGAGGTTAATTCTGCGAGACCTAGGCAGATGGAGCCAAAGGGTATGTTTTCTGAGGTATTTACAGAGGGGTAGGTGAGAGGATAAGAGAAGTCATCTGGACAAGTTGAATTTATTTGCTTTCTCTGATGCTAACTCGAGCCCAGTATAAAATGCCTCCTGCTGTTATTGGGGTCGGGACAGAAATACAAGCAACAGGCTGACGTGCTAGAACCCGGAATACACTGGTAAAGGAAAATCTCCATTTTATTGCTTTAGAGAGAGAATGTGTGGTTTCTCCTCACCCCCTTGCATGGTTAGAGAACGCAGGAGAAGTGTTCTGAGGAAGCAAATATGTGTTATATAGCAAACAGTATACATTTGCATGTATGTATGTACACATCTTTTGTAACCCTTTACCTCAACTTTCTATGTGCATGATTTTTGTAACCATAAATGCCTCTGCATGTGTATGCAAATAGGGTGATCCTACCTTCCCATGGCTATATTTACATATTGTGGATACGTTGGCTCAAATATATTTCTTGGTGTGTTTATCTCTGGCTGTAGGCTACTTGTGGCATAAAATGCATGTACATAAGGAACCCGCAAAAGGGAGAGAGAGAAGTAATTTTTCCCTTTTGGTGTGAAAGAGGAAGGGAAAACACTTAGGAGAGTGCTCTGGCTGGCCTAGGAGCGGCACTGTAGGAGAAACGAGTTTCTGTGGATGAGATGGTCTGAGCTTTTTGGGGTCAGCGGAATGGTTCACCTAGTCAAGTTCAAACATAGCTTTCTGGGCTCAGTTAGGACACTTTCCAGATCATCATCCTTTCCCTTCCCTCCTTGCTTTAAATTCCACCCCTTTTGGGCTGTTTGAGGGAAGGGGGGGAGGGAATAAGCATTTATATAGTGCCTACTACGTGCTGGGCACAATGCTAAGAGCTTTACAAATATCTCATGGTGGGGGCAGATTTAAGGTAAGAAATCTGTGAAAGCAGAAACTGACTTTTTTGCCCTTTGAGTTCCCTTTGGATTCAGCATTCTTTGCTGGACTCTCACCCAGGTGACTGTGGCATTTTAGGCTTTAACCCAGTTTGGAAGTTAAAGCCTTAAGTAAATCTAAACCCGAGGGCTATGCTCTCCCACCCCGAAGAGAAGCTAGGGAAGCTAGGCAACTTTTTATAGCAGAGAAATCCATTCCGCTTCTCCTATGCTTTTTGTCTTTTGTCATTTCAGGGGGTATCTCTCTTCACCAACCCCCACTCCCCCTCCACACTTGCTGCCAAACTCTGCTGTCAAAAACAAAAATAGCTTCAGGTTTTCCATTTAGGAAGAGTACACGTCCTAGTAAAACCCTGACATTCAAGGCGTATGCAGTGCCATTGGCTGGAAATGGGGCCGGGATGCTCTGCCTGTTGTAGGAATGCATACTAGGGCTGACTGTGGGTGAGCTGTTGGTGCCTGGCACGTGGTGACAGACTGTAGAATGGTCAGAGAATTAACTGGGTTCTTACCTGGGGGGTCATGCTGAAGGTATGGCTCTGATGTGGCCCAAACATAGGTTAAATGCAGAGGAGGCCACACCCCCACCCCAGTCAGACATTTAGTCAATGGAATAACCTGCCCCCTTTTGCATTTTTCTGGGGATAGGAGAGAAGAGATGCTGGAGGTGAGGGAGAGAGCAGCAATTGTCTGACCTCCTGGAAATTGCTAAATTGCTTATTTGACTTGTTTGAGAAAGCAGCCCTGGCTCAGTGAATAGGGAAAGTTAGCCTTGAGGATTTAAAGACTTGGAAGTGTTTTGTTTGGATTTTCCTCCCTCCATGACCCCTCACTTTCTAATAGGAGAAAGCATTTTGTAAAATGACTTGAACCTAGGTACATGATTTACACATAAATGGTGATACCATAAGCAAATTAAGAAATAGTTTATCTGTCAGATTTATGGATAAGGGAAGAATTTAGGACCAAAGAAGATATAGAGAGCATTGCAAAATGTAAAATAGAGAATTTTGATTATATAAAATTAAAAAGTTTTTGCAAAAACAAAACCAATGCGACCAAAATTATAAGGAAAGCAGAAAACTGGGTGGGGGATTTTGCAACAAATGGCTCAGATAAAGGTCTCATTTCTCAAATATATAGAGAACTAAGTCAAATTTGTAAAAATACAAGTCATTCCCCAATTGATAAATGGTTTAAGGATATGAACAGGCAGTTTTCAGAAGAAGAAATCAAAGCTATCTATAGTCATATGAAAAAATATTCTAAAGCTCTATTGATCAGAGAAATACAAATTAAAACAACTCTGAGGTACCACCTCACACCTATCAGAGTGGCTAATATGACAAAAAAGGAAAATATTGGATGTTGGGGATGTGGGAAAACTGGACACTAATGCACTGTTGGTGGAGTTATATACTGATCCAACCATTCTGGAGAGCAATTTGGAACTATGCCTGAAGGGCTATCAAACTGTGCATATCCTTGGATCCAACAATACCTCTGCTAGATCTATATCCCAAAGACATCTAAAAAAGGGGGGGAAAGGACCTATTTATACAAAAACATTTTATAGCAACTCTTTTTGTGGTGGCTAAGATTTGGAAATCAAAGGGATGCCCATCAGTTGGGGAATGGCTGAACAAGCTGTGGTATATGATGGTAATGGAATATTATTTTGCTGTAAGAAATGACAAGCAGGATGATTTCAGAAAAACCTGGAAAGACTTACATGAACTGATGCATAGTAAAGTGAACAGAGCCAGGAGAATGTTGTGCACAGTAACAGCAATATTGTTCAATGAAGAATTGTGAATGACTTAGCTATTCTCAACAATACAATGATCCAAGACAGTCCCACAGGACTGATGATGAAGCATACTATTTGCCTCCAGAGAAAGAACTGATATTGATTGAATACAGAATAAAGCAGGTTATTTTTCACTTTCTTTCTCTCATTTTTCCCTTTTATTCAAGTTTTCTTGTCCAAAGTGACTAATAAGGAAATGTTTTACACAATTGCACATGTATAACTTATATTTGATTGCTTATCATCTCAGGGAAGGGGGGAAGGAAGAAGGGAAAGATAGAATTTGGAACTCAAAACTGTAAGTAAAAAACGTTTATAATTTTAAAAAGGAAAAAAGATAAAGAAAAAAACCTTCAAAATATAATTTCTATATGGAAAACATTTTGAGGACCTCAAATTGGTTGATATCCTGAGGTTGATAAATGTCTGCTTTTTTTTCTTAAAAAAAAGCTTTGAACTATTAGCATAGGAAGCAGACTCTTGGAGTTGGGAGAAGCAAAATTGGTTAAGGCAGCAGCCAGCAATGAGTACTAGATAATCAGAGACAATAAGCCTCAAGAAAGATGGGGTGACTCACTGGATAGTGTAGAGTCAGGAAGGCCTGAGTTTCTGTCTTGCCTCAGACACTTACTAGCAGTGAGACCTTAGGCAAAGTCACTTCATACCTATCAGCCGATTTCCTCACTTATAAAATGGAGATAATAATAGTACCTACCTCAGAGGGTTGTTTTGAGGATCAAAGAAGATTCTGAGGATTAACTGAATTGATACAAATAAAGCACTTTGCAAAACTTAGAGTGCTATAGAAATGTCAGAAAAAGAGGGTGATAATAACATCTGACTTCATAAAGCTTTTTTAAGGTTTGTAAAACACTTTATAAACTTTATCTCATTTGAGTCTCACAAAAATCCAAGAAGATAGGTACTATATTGTTCCCATTATATAGATGAGAATATAGTTTTAATAAGGGATGGGGAGATAAGCATCAGTGGCCCGACGTGCAGAGCTTGGAATCTGGTCCATCAAGAGCTCTACCGAGTGTAACTTCATGACAGCAGCTACTTGCTCAGGCAACTAGGTCTGGGTCTTTGTAATGGGGAACAGCACGTACAAGGCAGTAGGTACAGTCCTTGAAATTTGGTCCAGGGTCACATGGGCACAGCCAGTGCTGCTCACCAGACAGCCACTGAGAAGAGGGATGGTGGTTTTTCTGTTGATGGGCTAGGTCCATGTAAGACTTGAAGCCATGAGCCCTGCCCTAGTTCCCTAAGCTATGGCCAAGACTGGCTCTGAGATATTCAGAAGAAATTCCTTTCCCAATGAAGAGACTCAAGGGATCTTGAGCCTCACAGTAAGAACTATTGCTGTCTGACTTGCTTTGTAGAGAGGAAGATTGTCCTTAGAGAGTCCTGGGGACTCTTTGTGTGAGGGGATGAGCCACAGGTGCCCCCCCCCCAGGATTCTTGGTTCTTACAGCATCATATAATTTTAGAGAAGGGCCTTAGAGATCATTTATTTTAATTCCAATGTATATAGCACTGAGGTTTACAAAGCACTTTACATTTCCCACT